TTGTAACAAGTCTGCAAACAAGTTGTTACAAGTCTGTTCACAAGCTGTCAACAAGTTGTTTTCGCACTGCTTGTTCCCAGTTTGTTGTAACAAGTTTGAAACAAGCTGTTGACAACTTGTAACAAGCTTGATGCCATTATCAGCCTTGTTACAAGACTGTGCTAGCAAGTTTGTTACAGCCATGATATAACAAGGATGTTACAAGGTTGTCAAAACAAGGTTGTAACAATCTTGTTATATCAAGCATGTAACGGACTTGTCAGAACAACCTTGTAACAAGTCTGATAAGTTCGACAAGGTTGTTACAAGTTGTCAACAAGTTGTTCCAAACCTGTTGACAACTTGTGACAAGCAGTGCGAATACATCTTGTTGATGGTTTGTTGGCAGACTTGTTACAAGATCTGAGATTTTTACGTGTGTAGATGGCCAACTACACGCGTAAAAATCTCACATCTTGTAGCAAGTCTGCCAACAAGCCGTCAACAAGTTGTGTTCGCACTGCTTGTCCCAAGTTGTCAACAAAAGTTTGAAACAAGCTGTTAACAATTTGTAACAACCTTGTTGATATTACCAGGCTTGTTACAAGGTTGTTCCAACAAGTCTGATACAGTCATGATATAACAATATTGTTACAACCTTGTGTTGTTAACCTTGTAACATTCTTGGTTATCATGACTGTATCAGACTTGCTAGAACAACCTTGTAACAAGTCTGAATGCCATCAGGCTTGTTACAAGTTGTTAACAGTTTGTTCCAAACTTGTTACAACAACTGGGAACAAGCAGTGCGAACACAACTTGTCGACAGCTTGTGAACAGATTTGTAACAACTTGTTTGCAGACCTGTAACAACTTGTACGTTTTTACCCGTGTATGTTAGATACATTTCATTGTGAATCCGTCTATTGATGCTATTTCAGGTGTAAAGGATACGAATGCAGATCATTGCGCAAGTCATTTAGGAAAAGCCATAGGAATTGGCACTTTGTTACGCTCGACACTACATCATGCCAAGTCAAGGAGAATTTTATGGCCCACTGATGTCTTGCTACAGGTATCTTGATTGATATAATTATGGACTTCAATGATCTGGTTTCTGCACTTCACTCGGTAATATTAGAATGCTGTTTTTAGGGTTTGTAATCCAAGTGAGTATATATATATATACATTTTAAGACCTAACCAGGAGTCCTCCTGATATACTCACTTGGATTACAAACCCTAAAAACAGCATTCTAATATTACCAAGTGAAGTGCAGAAACCAGATCATTAAAGTCCACCTTATCACAACCCGCACACGCGATCGCCTATATATACATGAACTTACGGTTATAGCTCAACAGTTGGCCTCTGTAGCTCAGTTGGTTAGAGCGCTGCACCGGAATCGCAGGACCCTATATAGGTTCAATTCCTACCAGAGGACCTTGTGCTGCATTTTTCGCAGTCGTTCCTGGTTAGGTCTTAAAATGTTTATATATGCTCACTTGGATTACAAACCCTAAAAACAGCATTCTTGATATAATTATACTTTTGGGCTAGACTTGCTTCAAGTTATTCGATATCAGGGTGTCCCAATAAAATGCAATCGCTCTCCGTTTGAGACTCTTACACAGTTCGTTATTTATTTGTTTATTTATTTATTTATTATGCTTTGCCAATTTCACACAATCTGCCCAAATACAAACACACGAATATACAACCTATCAATCATGGCAGGGTACATGCTACAGCTTACGCCAATCACAGCAGCCCTTGGAAAACGAACATGACACATTGTTCATTAGATCTTTAGTAATATAGAAAGGCCAGTTTGCACCCAGGAAAACCCTCTGCAGGATAGGAACGGAATGGAAAGTTACATGGTGCTAAATTATTAGTGAGCGTCGAACATTTCATATAAAAGATTAATTTTGACAGTAAGATTATTATAATTGGTCTACTACCACCGATGTTATGCCCTATTTTAAGGCCCTGTCACATTATTGCGTACGAGAGCAAGTTATATGAGTAGCGTATAAACTATATACGTCCGCATACGCACAAAAATTTTGAGCATGCTTAAAAATAATTTGTGTCTCGCCGTATCGCATGCGTATGCCACCGTATGCCACCGTGCTTGAATCGCATGCATACAACCTATTTTATATCTGATGATGCACGGACTGCGAGTGTTTTAAATGGCTTAAAAAACGACCCATCCGATGAGTTAATGGACCTTTCACCTTTTGACTAAAATTTAGATTTCAACAAATCTAGACAAACATTTTATCACGGCTTGAAAGAGCATCACAAAATTAGTAATATTCCGAAGTTTCGTTGCGAAATGTTGTAGAATGTGGATAATATAGCCTTGCGAAGTTTGCAATTTTCAGTCATTTTGTATTACAGACGGGAAATACATACCCTTTTTCTGAAGGAGGTATGTATTTCCCGCGCGTAATACAAAATGACTGAAAATTGCAAACTTCGCAAGGCTATATTATCCGCATTTTACAACATTTCGCAATGAAACTTTGGAATATTACTAATTTTGTGATGCTTTTTCAAGCTGTGATAAAATTTTTGTCTGGACTTGTTGAGATCTAAATTGTAGTCCAAAAGTGAAAGGTCCATTGGCGAAGTAATTTTAAAAATAAACCTTGCGGTCTAAGCCGAGAAAATGAAAGCTAAAGTTTATGTTAATGAACATGATTTTTTACCACATATAACCCCAAACTCATATTAATGAGTTTTGGGTGCATGGTCAAATATATTGATAGTGTTTTATTTTTTCAGCACGGACTTTCACAGGAAGATGTACTGCGTGGTAGAAATGTCGCCGTTGCCAAAGAAGTGACGTACCAGTTAGCCAGCGTGGCACATGTTCATTTAGATAAAGTAAGATATATACTCTCTGTTTTACAGCAACAACTCATTTCTGACTGTCGATACAATTAATGTATAACGTATCGACCCTATATCGTTGCACTGATAGGCACCATAAACTCTGTCGTGCAACCATAGGAGTATGGAGTTGATGCTTTCCAGGGGGGCAGTTGAAAGTTTGCCCGAATTTTTATGGAGGATTGTAATGAAATTACCTGAATCTAACCTATTTTCTGATAAATCTTGATTTTTCCTAGCATTTGCCCGAATTTCCATGGTTTTCCAAAATTTTGGGGGTAGTTGTCCCCCCCCGTCTCGTACGCCTATGCGTGCAACTCATAGTCATCTGGCGTTATCAAAGCGAGAAGAAATACAGTAGCATATATTCCAGTAGACCTTTCCCCTTATGAGTGAAATTTTGATCTAGATATGCCTGTTTGACAAAAATTCCATCACAACTTGAAAGAGCATCACAAAATTAGTAATATTCCGAAGTTTCGTTGCAAATGTTGTAAAATGCGGATAATACAGCCTTGCGTAGTTTGCCGTTTTTCAGTCATTTTGTATTACAAACAGGAAGTTGGTAATCAGATGATCAAACTGATTATCAATTTCCCATTTGTAATACAAAATGACTGAAAAACGGCAAACTTCGCAAGGCTATATTATCCGCATTTTACAACATTTCGCAACGAAATTTCGGGAATATTACTAATTTTGTGATGTTCTTTCAAGCTGTGATGAAATTTGTGTCCAGACTTGTCTAGATCAAAATTTAACTCAAAAGGTGAAAGGTCTATTGATGATTCCCCTTATTACGTTTTCGTAGCGCTTTGCATTGTGGTTATAGTGGTATCACTGATAATAATAATAATAATAATAATAATAATAATGATTTAATAGCATTTCCACATAGTGGCTCTTCTATGCTACAAGTGAGTTTGATTATAAGATAACAAAGTATACAATATATACAACGGAGTACATAATACGACACAACAAGTATTACAATACGTAGTATGTTGTACATTACAATATTTAACAATTGACATTATTAGTATTTAACAATTGACATACACAGTAAAATACAGTATAGTTATATACACAATGTCAACAGAGTTTACGACGTGTCACTAATTCTGTTTTTGACTAATGTTTTGAAGTACTCGGAGGAGGTTCTGCAATAATCTTTAAATGTATCGCAGTTTCGAATTTCTTCAGGTAAGGAATTGAACACTCGAGCTGCTTCATCTTGGAAGGTTCCAGAGATAATAGGGACTACTAGACGCCGGGCAGATGATGATCGTAATGGTCTTATAGGAATATATTCC